GGGGGGGGGGAACAGAAGACTGGGCGCAGGCGCACTTCTTCCCACACATTCTGTGGTTGCTGCACCTGTCCGTGATCCCTCCCCACTGCTCACCTCTCCCGCCCCTGGGCCACCTCCTCCTTCTGACCTCCCCGCACTTCACAGCCAACTTTAGGAACACCTGGCCTCAGCAGCTGCACACCTGTTGGAGCTCTTCACGCTTCGGCGGTGTCTCCTCACAAACCTGCCTGTGAAGTCTAGCCCTACCCCATGCTAGCCCAGACCTCTCCACTCACCTGCCCATTTAGTCCTGGAACACCTGTTTGTGAGACCTAGCCTCAGCCCAACAGTCCTCAGGTGCCCCAGAGGCAGGGTCTGTGGACTGCTTCTGAGATAGGGCCCTCGGGTGCCAGCCTGGCTTCCTACATGCCTGGGAGGACTACCCCATGGGCACCTAGACCTTAACCCAGGGTGCCATAGGCTTGCCTCCACTCCACCTACCACTTGCCAAACTGGCCCAGAGATAGGATTCTGGGCTGAGGACAATGCCCTGCAGGGCCTTTCCCAGCTCAGTCTTCCCTGGAAGGCTTCCTGGAAGAGGGGACCTCTGAGCCCAGAGAGGTGAGGCTGTTCTCATCTGGGTTCTCAGGGAAGAGCAGCAGGCAGAGGTCCCTGGAGCATGGAGAAGGCCCTTGGAAGAGGGTGATTTGGTCAGAGTGGAGGAACAGGAGACATTGTGTGGGTAGGCCCCAGGCTTCCAGGCCCTCAGAGAGGTGATGGGCTTGTGTTGAGGAAGCCAGGAAACACTTTGTAAAGTCTTGATTGTGACAAGGTAATGGGAGGAGACACCATAGGGAGTTAGCCTGAGAGGCCAGAGAGAATTTAAGGGATGGGTAAGGGAGTCCCTGTTGGAGGGAGGTGGGGAGGCTGTGGAGCCAGTGAGTGCCTGTACTGAGTATGTGCATCTGAGTGGCGTGAGTTTGCACCGTGTCAAGTCGTGGGTAACTTACCTATCCTCTCTGAGGCTGTTTCTTCAAGGGTACCAGGGGACATCAAGACACCTGCCTGGTGGAGAGGACAAAAGAGTGTCTCTCACCTCTTCCTCCCACTTATTATTGTTCTTGTCCTTGTGATCACTATCTTTAGTTGGAGAATGGCAGGGAAGCCTCCAGGGGGCTGTGGGACCCTACCTGCCCCGGTAAGGGCACTAGGTAAAGCCAGGCATCTGAGGGAGGACCTCTTTGACCTGCATCACCCGTCAGCCCTGACCCATCCAAGCGTAGTTTGAGGACACCTCGCCTCCCAACATTCCCCAGGTCGCGAACTTCCAGACCCAGGAGCTCCGTGTGGCTGTACAGGTCGCCTGCTCCCGGGCTGAGGATCGCCGGGACTGGAGATGGAGCGGCAAGGGCCAGCTCCCGGACAGAGGGAACTTGGACCCGGGCGCGGGTCGGTGCGGTGTGGGGTGGGCGCCGCAGCCCTGGGCAGCTCTGGTGGCGC